AGCTTGCTCAATAATACTGACAAGTGGTGTAATTCCAATGCCTCCAACGTAAACCAACATTTCCACACTTGGGTCATTTTCATGATAAGTAAAGCTACCACCTGGTGAAGCTACTCTGATTTTATCACCGACTTTAAGTTGTTCATGAATATGGCTGGAAATCTGTCCACCTTCAAGCTTGCGGACGGAAATTCGATAAGGGTTTTCTGTTGGAAATTCAGAAAGAGAATACTCTCTACTCTTTTCAAACTCCAGCCCTGGAAGTTTCCAACGAATACAGACATACTGACCTCTCTGAGGAGTTGCAATTGCACTTTTATCGGTTGGTGAAAAATAGACTGATTTCACATCGCTTGCTTCATTTTGTATTTTTTCAATGGTGAATTCCTTGAACCCGTTCCAAGGTTGTTTCTGGTAACAAGTATCCTCGGCGTTGATCAACAACCGAGCCAAGTTTCCATAGGCAGTTGCCCATGCTTGAAGAAATTCAGGTGTCGCTAATTCTCCCAACATATTTTCCATGTGTGTTGAGAAGACAATGTTCCAACAATTGGATAGTGTTCTGGTTTGACCTGGAGTCCCACATGGTTTCGTGACAAGTTTGCTGAACAAACCCAGTCAAGGGTTCCAAATTTTCAATATTTTCGGCATATTTCAACAATGCAAATGCAAGAATTTTGGGTTGACGTAACAGTTTTTGATCAGATTCATTGAAAAACGGCTTTACTTCAGGATAACTGGAGAGCATTTTCTGATAAAAGTTCTTGGTGAGTTCCTGACCCAGAGCTTTCAATATTGGAACTGAAGCCTTGACAATGTTAACTTGTTCTGGACTAAGCTGTTGAATGGTGTACACTTGATTTGCAGCCTTTGTCATTATGAAAGTGAGGGAGGTGGTGCGATTATTCTGGGTATTTATGCATCTGGTATATCCGTGGAAACCGTTTGGAAGTCAGCCACATGCGTGTTTGAAAAATATTTGGTGTGGTATGATTTCGGGCAAAGTCGGAATGGATGAGAAATGAGAAAATGAGTATGAGTGAATATTCGCGATGAGTAATGAGTGCGATTCGAGTGGTTGAAAAATAAGACAAGAAACGACGAGAAACTGGGGTAGTTGTGTATAGACGACTCCACATTATCAATTATCTATATAGTTTATCACTCGTGATACTTTATCAATTCTAGTTCATCATTCTTGAATAGTTCACCTACCAAATTACTCGTGCCAAGCTCGTCAAGGTTCGGGTGTATAAGCCCGTTGACTCGGCTGCAAATTCGTAATTATAGAACAAGTGGGGCTGAGAGAACCCTTACAACTCCTTAAGAAGCTTCTACCAAACGTATCGAAAATTCTTGGCCTTTTGCTTATCTGTCAAATTTTTGGCATCCTCTTCAAAATCCAATGATGGTGGTCCGTAGAGCTTGTCTCTCCTAGCATTTTCCATATAGCATCCAGCACCATAAGCCAAAATTGAAAGACAAGCTGCGGAGGTAAAGCCTAAAATAGCATGATAACCAGTAAGGTAATGAGGTGCCTGTTTGGCGAGAAAGAATTGTGGAGCAATGATGTTGGACACACAATAAGACACAAAATTCACCGTATTGACGATAGTCTTTTTTGTATGGCCCGAGGTGTTGGCCATGGACAACGACGTCATACATACGTAAGGACCCCAGTAGAAGTAAAAGAAATAGTAAGCAACGAGCAAACCATGTTTGTTGTGGAGAGTCATCATCAATGCACAGCAAATCAAAGGACATAAGCAGATGGTACCAGCACATATGGTACGGAATTTCTTGGGGAAGTAGAGACCAGGCAAGGCAATGAGCCAACTGCTTAATGTCATAAACACTCCAGTGGGCATTCCAAGCAAGGTAGTTCTGATCGGTGAGTAACCTAAACCTGAGACAATTTGTGCTGCAAATGTCACCAAGGCACCATTGCTGATATTGATGGACAATACAAACACCGCCATGACCCAAGTTTTCCAGTCTGTCAAAGCCTCGATAACCTGATCTTTCTTGAAATTTGTGTTTTTTGTTCCGGTTTTGTTTTCGATGGTTCGGTGTACCGCAATGTACTTCTCTCTTTCATTAAAGTAGCGACAAGTTACTGGACTGTCGGGCAAGAGAATGAACAACACACAAGTGAAGAAAATGGTTATGGCTCCAAACACAAGAAACAAGAGTCTCCAGTTGGCGATGGAGGAGTGGGCATGTCCTACGGCATAAGACAAGATTCCAGTGATAAGCGACGAGAAGCCTGAAAACCAAATGGCAGTACGGAACGGCTGCTCTGATTTTTTATAGAACATGGTAGTTATCACGGTTAATGAGGGAAATAAGAACGACTCGCCCATTCCCAAGAGAAACCGCATTGCACCAAGTCCAGCAAAATTGTTCCCAGCAGCCATACACATCAAGATTGCGTTCCACACAACGAAAGAAGTACATAGTACCTTTGCCACGGGAAGTTTTTGGAGCAAATAGTTGGCGGGAAACTCCATAACCAAATACCCAAAGTAAAAAATCGATCCCAACCATGAATATTGAGACCCCACCAAATGGGCATCTTCTCGCATTCCGTGCACAGCAGCATTAGAAATTATGATCTTATCAGCGGCAGCAAGGGTGATAACAATTGTCATAATCGGCATCAATAACCAGTCGATTTTTCGCAAAACTTTGCGGGCTTCTTCCTGCGAATAGTCGGCATGTTCAGGATGATCCAAGAGGTATTTTGCACCAACGTCAACATCACCATCTTGGGGAAGCAGAAAACTGGACTCCTGCACCTTCAACTCGAGTTTTTCTGTCATTAAATTCAAAAATAAAGTTTAAGTTTAAACGTTAATCCGACTCGGTTATTGGTTCTTATGCTAAGCGGGTTATATTGGCTCTTATATAATAAGCGGCTGTTCTGATCTTCTTATACTGCTTATCTACGAAGATCACTCTTCATGTTACGGGTCGGTTGCAACCAATAAACAAAACGGCAGTTGGGAACGCAGAGGGGATGACGCCGATAGATTATTCCGTGCGACGGGAAACTTTATCGCGCACTGAAAGGCAGGTCGGTGCGCCGAGAGCCTCGCGCTGCGGCGTCGTCTCCTCTCCGCATATGCACCCTCGAGCGCCGCGATATCAAATCGGAAAAACCATCTTTTTATATTTATACCAAAGTCCGCAGGTCAATTTTTACGCCACCACAACATACGCGTGTCTAGTAACGACGGCGGAGCGTGTGAATACTATAGCAATGTCTTCGGTTCTTATCGTTGGTTGTGGCGTAATGGGACTTTCGTCTGCCATTGCTCTAGCAGAAAGAGGTCATAAAGTGGTTGCAATGGACTCATTTCCGGTTCCTTCGCCTTGGTCTGCCGCGTGTGACTTCAACAAGATCATCCGGACCGAATACACTGACAAATTATACACGGAATTGAGCGTCGCTGCTCTTGATGAATGGAGACATAGTCCAGTTTACAACCACACTTTCAAAGAATGTGGACGAATTTTAATCACTCCCGAGAACCACGAGGGTAGAAGGGAGTTTGAGAGACTCAGTATTGCCAATCTCCAGGCGATTGGTGGCGGAAAATATATCGAATATTATAAAGGTGGTGAACAATTGGGTGGAAAATTCAAAGTCTTAAGCCACAATTCTGTCAAAGATTCCACCGAGATAAAATGGAACCCTGAGTCGGGGCTTGCCCACGCCGCGAACGCTTTGAGACTGGCTCACGCCAGAGCCGAGCAATTGGGTGTGACATTTGTATTTGGCGACGCAGGACGAGTGGTTGCTACCTACACCGAAAACGGAACCGTTTATGTAATTTCGGCTGACGGATCGAAAAGAACAGCTGACCAGGTTCTCTTGAGTGCTGGTGCAGCCACGGGCTATCTCGTGACTTGGGACAACACATCTGCTACAGGATTATTTATTACCCACTTCAAGCTAACACCTCAAGAATACGAAAAAATACAAGGACATTCCTGTTGTGTTTGATGGAGAAATGGGATACTTTTTCCCTCCAGATCCAGCTACCTACGTCCTCAAGATTGCATTGCCGGGTTCTGGAACCTCAAACTACGTTAATGATCCATTTGGAGTCTACGATAAGAAATCGCTTCCTCGCTACAAAAATGATAATCCCAACGACACCGTTCCTTTGGATGGATATGACCAGGCAAGACGGCTCCTACGCAAATACGTTCCAGATTTAGCACACCATAAGCTTCGCGACAGCAAAGTGTGTTGGATAGCAGACACCTCTGATTCTCATTTTATCGTCGATGCGGTTCCAAAACTACCCAACTTATTTGTGGCTACCGGCGACAGCGGCCATGCATTCAAGTTTCTTTCCCACCATCGGAGACCTTATAGCTGATAAACTAGAGGGAAAACTTGCGGAAAAGTACCAAAATGCCTGGAAATGGAGAGACAACATTTCTCCGTTTGATCCTACAGATTGCTCATGGAGAGTGGTATCTGAGCCGTTGGACATTTCTCAAGTTAAATGGGCTAAAGAAGACTCTCATGGGACGGTTAAGCTATAGACATCGTAAACATTTTGTAAAATCGAATACTTTATGCTCTTAAGACATTGAGACGAACATAGTAGCACGGAAAAAGTAAACAGAACATAGCGAAGACTCTAAATCAAACTCTAAACTAATTTTGTGGGAAAATACCAAGTATACGAAAAATAGATATCAATTGATGCGGTGCCTCTTCGCTACCCAAAGATCAGCTGTTTTCCCCTCCATTCAATACGAGATATGTTGACGGGATTGCAGCCATTCTCGGCGTTCCCCATTGCCTTGAAAAAATAATTGATAAACGCCGGATTAGCTCCCCATAGTCATGCACGGCGCATCCACCTTCCCCAAGCCAAAAATGAAGACACGCGGCTAGATGCAGGCAAAGCCGGAATTTACTTCGATAAGCTGCACCTCCAGATATAAATGTCATCCACCCCATATAGCATTGCAACAAACTAAAGTTTTCTATCAAAATTTATCATGACACTAGGGGAAGGGATCAAGATTGCAATAGACAGAGGAGGAACATTTACGGATGTTCTTGCGGTTATTCCCGGACAGAGCGAATACGTTTTCAAGTTACTTTCGGTCGATCCTGGAAATTATGACGATGCTAATATCGAAGGAATCCGGCGAGTTTTAGAGTACACGAGTGGAAAGGAGATTCCTCGTGGCGAATTGTTGGATACTAGTGGAGTAGAAAGTATCAGATTAGGAACCACAGTTGCAACCAATGCACTTTTGGAGAGGAAAGGTGTTCGTACTGCGCTTGTTACTACTGAAGGATTCAAGGATCTTTTGTATATTGGGAACCAGGCGCGGCCGGATCTTTTTGACTTGAATATTCGCAAACCTGGAGTCTTGTACGAAAAGGTAATTGAGGTAGAAGAACGGGTAACGCTTCCTGCTTATTCTGAGGATGCCACTGGATATACCGCTGAAGACAAGGTTGATGGAAAGTATTTTGTACGAGGCTCTACTAAAGAAGTGGTGAAAATAATCAAGCCTTTAAATGTTGAAAAAACCAAAAGCCAATTGAAAGCTTTGAAAGAAGAGGGTATAACCTCAGTTGCAATTGTCTTGGTTCATGGATACAACTTTCAGGAACATGAGCTTCAAATTGGCGCGTTGGCAACCGAACTTGGGTTTGAAAACGTTACCATGTCTCACAAAACTTTACCCATGATCAAGGTCGTAAATAGAGGACAGTCGTCCGTGGTGGACGCATACCTCACTCCCATTGTCAAGCAGTATATTGAAAGTCTTCTCAGCGGATTCAAAGAGGGATTTGAAAAACACACTAGAATCGAGTTTATGATGTCCGACGGTGGACTTTGTCATTATACTAAATTTACCGGTTTAAAGTCGCTTCTTTCTGGCCCTGCTGGTGGAGTGGTAGGACAAGCGCTCACATGCTATGATCCCAATGAAGGTACAGATACAATTGGTTTTGATATGGGAGGAACTTCCACGGATGTTTCTAGGTACGCTGGTGCTTATGACCATGTTTTTGAGACGACTACAGCCGGCTTAAAAATTGCTGCTCCTCAGTTGGACATAAACACTGTGGCTGCTGGCGGTGGATCTATTTTGTCTTACAAAAACGGGTTGTATCAGGTTGGCCCTGACAGCGCATCTGCTCATCCTGGTCCAGTATGCTATCGTAAAAATGGACAAAACTTGACGGTGACAGACGCAAATTTGATGTGTGGAAGAATTCTTCCTGAATACTTTCCAAAAATTTTTGGTCCCAATGAAAATGAACCACTTGATGGTACCGCCGTGGTGGAAAAGTTTCAGCAATTGGCGGATATAATTAATGCTGAGCATCCCGATAGCAAACCCAAATCGGCTCATGAAGTAGCCCTTGGGTTCCTCAATGTTGCAAATGTTGCCATGGCAAAGCCTATAAGACAATTGACAGAAAACAAAGGTTTTGACGTTACGAAACACAACTTGGCATCTTTTGGAGGTGCCGGTGGGCCAACATGCAACATCGTTAGCCAAGGTTTTGAAGATCAAAAGAGTAATAATTCACAAATACTCATCGATCCTTTCTGCCTATGGAATTGCTTTGGCGGATGTGGTTCATGAAGAGTTGGAACCGGCTTCGGTAAAGTATACGGAAGAATCAGTATCATCGCTTTTGCAAAAGTGTGAGGTGTTGAAGGAAAAAGTGGCTCTCGAACTTGAAGATCAAGGAGTTACAGCATCGGATTTCCAAGTCTACTTCAATATGGGTTATAAGGGTTCAGATTCAAAACTCATGATTGCAGAAGACAAATCCAAGAATTTCTTACAGAACTTTTACGAGACTCATCAGAGAGAATTTTCATTCAACGACAAGCATAGAGACGTCATTGTGTCGGATATCAGAGTCAGAGGGTCCGGTAATGCTGGAAAGATCACCGAGAGATCAGCTTATAAAGATTTGGCCAAAATCAGTCCCAAAGTTGTTGCACCAGGAATCGAAAAACTGAAGTCAAGCGTTTATTTTGAGGGAGGATTTCAAGAAGCAAACGTTTATCTCTTAAATGACTTGGATAGTGGAACAGTTATTCCTGGTCCCGCATTAGTGATAGACTCCACTCAAACAATTTTGGTCGAGCCAAATTCCCATTTAACGGTTCTTCCTAGGCATGTCATTATTGATCTTGACGAGTCCCAGTCGTCACAAGAAAAAGATGCGGACCTCAAAATCGATCCAGTACAGTTGTCAGTCTTTGCTCACCCGGTTTATGTCTATTGCTGAGTCCATGTGTACCACGTTACAGAAGATATCTGTGAGTGCCAATATCAAGGAGAGAATGGACTTTAGCTGTGCTTTATTTGACGAAGTTGGTAATCTAGTAGCCAATGCTCCTGCTGTGCCAGTTCATCTAAGTTCGATGTCTTTTGCTGTGAAATATCAGATAAATCATTGGGGTGATGATATCAAAGAAGGTGATATTTGGGCCACCAATCATCCCAAGGCGATGGGAACACACTTGCCTGATATCACTGTGATATCACCAGTTTTCGTGGACGGAAAGATTCGGTTCTATGTTGCTTCGAGAGCACATCATGCTGAAATAGGAGGCACTGTTGCGGGATCTATGGACTCGTCAGCGACAGATCTCAAGGACGAAGGTGCCCAGTTCATCGCCTGGAAGCTTGTGAACAACGGAGTTTTCGATTATGACGGAGTTGAAAAAGTACTTTGTGGATGAGCTTAAGAAAAGTTCCAGGATCGTCTCCTTCGAGAAAAGTTGAAGACAATATTGCCGATCTTAAGGCTGAAATTGCAGCCAACCAGCGTGGAATCAATATGTTAACGGATGTTTTCACGGAATACGATACGGACTATGTTTTGTTCTACATGAAAGGGTATCAAAACCACATCTGAAGCCGCAGTCAGAAAGTTCCTCAAAAAGTTGGCACAAGAAAATAAGCATCGACTTCCATTGCAGGCTGTTGATTTCATGGATGATGGAGCCAAAATCCAACTTACCATCGATATCAATGAAGAGGATGGTTCGGCGGTGTTTGATTTCGAAGGTACCGCAGACGAAACTTTCAACTGTTTCAATGCCCCTCGAGCAGTTACTTATGCCTGTATCACCTACTGCTTAAGATGCCATATTACCGAAGGTGACTTGCCCATGAACGAAGGAGTGCTAGCTCCAATAGAGGTACGCATTCCCGAAGGCACAGTATTGAACCCCAGTGTCACCGCTGCTGTTTCTGGAGGAAATGGTATTACTTCTCAAAAAATTACCGACACAATTTTAAAAGCTTTTGGTACTGTTGCTGCATCTTATGGGTGTATGAATTGCTTGTGTTTTGGCCAAGGAGGTCTTGATAAAAAAACAGGAGAAATGGTTGCTGGGTTTGGGTTCTGTGAGACAATCGGCGGAGGTTCAGGTGCTGGAAATGGGTTCAATGGTTTCAGTGGAACCCAATGCCATATGACGAATACGCTTATGACAGACCCTGAAGTTCTTGAGCTGCGGTATCCTGTTCTTTTGAAGCAATTTTCAATTCGAAAAAATAGTGGGGGTGCTGGAAAATGGCATGGAGGTGATGGTTTGGTCAGAGAATTGGAATTCACTTCGCCGTGCCATGCTTCAATATTAACCCAGAGAAGAGTAGTTCCACCATATGGAATGGCAGGAGGAGGCGAAGGTGCTAGAGGAGAGAACAAGTTGGGACGAGTTGACGGGAATGGGAAAATTCACTGGAAACATGTGGGTCCTACGGCAGAAATAGAGTTGAATGTGGGAGACATTATCAAGATTTTGACACCCGGCGGAGGCGGATATGGACGTGCTGGCGAGCATAGCGAGCCAGGAAGCGAACAAAACGGAGGAAATTTGAGAGTGGGAAGTTTGAGAGCAGGAGGCAGTTTGGGACTCATGAGAGAAGCCATGAACAGTTCGCAGTAAAATAAAATAGGAATGTACTAGAGATTTGGAAACCACAGTAGGAGTTGAACCTAAATTAGCATGAAATTAAAGCAACCAATTTAACCTTTTGTGTCTGCCTCAATTAACTTTCTTCCTGTGCTTTCGCAGCAACGCCGCAATTCGCAACTTCTCGATCAAGCATTAAAGTGTGCGCGAATCGGACGATAAGAACTGAAGCTCACGGCTGAAACAACCAAATGCCAGTACCAAAAACAGGTGCAACCAAACCGAGGCAAAAACCCAGAGACAACCGTAAAACCCGGGTCATTGTCCGTAATAGAACTGGGTGTCTGGCATGCAAGAGAAGACGTAAAAAATGCGATGAACAAAAACCAATTTGCGGCGCTTGCATCAAGTTGAAGCTTCCATGCAGCTTTGACATTATGTTACATTGGCACCCTTCTAATCAACAATGCCAACCTGTTCCAGTAAAGTTGAGTGTTCCTGGTGCCCCGGGCTACCTTTTAAATTGCAATTATGATGACATGAATTTATACCATGTTTTGACCAATCGTGAAATGGTGAGTGATGAAGAAAGAGTAGCCCGACTAAAGGGTATAAGGCAAATTGAGTCTGTTTTGGATGCTCCTTCACCTATTCCAGAGGATCAGGAAGACGATGGAGTTGAAAGTGAATTGTTCACATACTACGTAGGTGTTGTTTCTCGACGGAAAGCATTTGGAGATTCCCATTTTAACGAGTTCAAATTTTTGGTGGTTCCTAATAGTATAGTGTCTCCTGCGCTATACCAGTCTGTCATAGCACTAGCTGCCCATGATATGAAGTCAAGAAAACCCGATAAAGCTGCGTATTACTTGCGACTTCGTGGAAAATATAAGCACGAAGCAATCAATTTGTTATACAAAATTTTGGACGACGAACCTGATTTCATATCGAGCCAATCGTCCAGTGGACTCGACGAGGTGGTGATCACCATTCTTATGCTTTGCTCCTTGGAAATCAGCGACCAGGGAAACAAAAATTGGATCAGCCATCTCCGAGAAGGTGGACTCATTTTTGGATCGCTACTGAGTGAAAAAGTCATGCTGTCCGAACTTTTATTATTTGCATACCGTTACTTTAGTTTGCGGTACATTCTTCTATTAACCACTCTCAACAGAAGGGAATTGGACCTCTTTATGGAAAGCTCTCCCTGGCCGTTATACGAGCTGTATTACCAAAGTGACTCTGTCGACTACATTCTTGGTTGCTCACCAAAGTTGCTTTTCCTTGTCTACGAAACAATTCTTCTCCGTCACGATTTACCCTCGAGTCTGAAGAGTGAAGTAGCGACAAGATACAGCAATCTTTTGACGAAATTAACGACACTCAAACAAACCCTCGATACAGACGACAAGGATTTCGAACAATTATATCTCTGCTCCCAAGCATATTTCACAGCTACAAAACTATTTTTCAGCGAGAGCTTTGACCGTATAGTATCGACCTACTATCCCATGTTCAAACTCCCTACGATTCCTGAAACACATAATCTTCAACTCGAACTTTTGGCAATTTTGGAAAATTTGACCGCAAGAGCCCATACACTCACTTTATTTCCAACATGGTGCTTGTTCATCTCGGCCATGTTTCTACCTCAAGAAAAACACAGGCTTCTGATTCTCAATATATTTAAGGATTTGGAAATACGCTGGCCGTTGGGTTCACCTACCACCATTAAAACTGCCATAGAACTCATATGGAAAATGAACGATTTGAGCCAGGTGAAAAACGACTGGACGGAGATACTAAGCGTGTGCAACTACATGCTTGCGTTGACATAGAAGAGCTAAAGACCAAAATCAAAGGGCAAGAACTAGCAAAGAAGCTGAAGGAGACTACCAAACACTAATGAAGACACAACCCCGCAAAGACACCAAAGGACATCAGCTCCTGTTATACCTGTGTACTGCTGGCTTGTACATAACCTAATATAGCTTAACGTAATATTGCAATCGTTAGTATTGCATAATTGATATGACTCAATGCGAATTTAAGTTTCTAAAATCAAATGCTCTTTACATACTAAAATGCTCCTTACGATGAATTCTGGAGTGCCTTTTATATATAGCATTTTCTTTGTAAGATGTTGTCTCTGCTATGTTCTAGATCTTGATATGTTCAATACCTGGGCGAATAGTGTATGTACTTCGATGTCACCGTTTTGGAACCAAGTTATTATCGGCATTTTGGAAAATGAACTTGTGGTTTCAGCTTCAGGAAACAAGTCTTCATCCGAATATAGAGGCATGAACAATGGTGGTGTACCAGTATTTGCCGGATATCAATTTTGTGAGGAAACTGAAAATGTTGCTAATTTGGAAATGACGATAATAACCACTTGTGACAAAATTGCAAACTTGACACAACAAGAGTTTGATTACTTTGGTTTGTCTCAGGCACAAATGCAAGTACCGGGACCTAGACGGACACAACAACGGGAAATTTCATTGGAAGAAGAAAGAGCGGAAATCGCCGAAGCTGCAAGGTTGCAAAATTTACGAGATCCCGGCTTTATATTAGATCGGCAAACGAGGAGTAATTGAATCATGCACGGTCGATCTGCAACCTAATTCGGCGAAAGTTCTGTTGGATTTGGACTTGAAAAATTGAGCGTCAATTGAGAAAGTTAATTGAGAGTCAAGTTGAGAAAGTCAATTGATAAAGTCACGGCGTACTACAAGGTTCATGGTTATCCTGATCGTTCTAGTTCTCTGCTAGTTTGGTCTGTGCTAGTGATTTTGCAGCAGCAAGTTGAAAGACTTAGTCGGTTGATCGGCTGCTAACATTTTCCCAATGCGGAAATGGGACCCGTTGATAATACTGATAAGCGATGCCAAGAAAAAGGTACTGATAAACAGTTCTTTCGTGCAAATATATCAACGCTGACAATGCTACAGTGCAATTGAGTCGAAAATGTCTTCTTTGGAAGAACAAACTTCCACGTTTGTTGCGGCCGACATGGTCTACATCTTATTCTGTTCATTTGGAGTATTTCTTATCACTCCAGCAATTGGTCTATTTTACAGTGGAGTTCTCAAGAGAAAGAATGTGGTCCAGGTGTTGTTTCAAACATATATGACTACAAGTAATGTGGTAATTATGTGGTATCTTATCGGCTACTCTCTTGGAAATTCTCCAACTTCCACCTCTAAACTTATTGGAAATTTGGATAATGCTGCTCTTCATGACGAGCAAGCCAAACCATTATTGGAAGGCGGGAACCTTCCTTCGACCATCAATTTTTGTTTTAATGTGTTTTTCCCTGTTGCAACCGTACAGATTTTCGTTGGAGCAATTGGTGAAAGAGGCCGGTTTTTACCATCCCAAGTTGTAGCGTCGATCTGGACAATTGTCGTATATTGTCCCTTGGCGTTCTGGGTATGGGGAGCAAACGGATGGCTTTTGAATTTAGGAGCGTTGGATTTTGCTGGTGGAGGTCCTGTTCATATTGCATCTGGAGTCGCTTCTTTTTGCTATTCTTGGTTCATTGGTCCTCGCGGAAAACCAGGTAAACGGACAGGCACTGTAACACCTTATAGAGGACATTCTTCTACCACCACTTTCATTGGAGTTACTTTGATTTGGGCAGCTTGGTTCTGTTTCAATTCCGGTACACTTTTGTCGGTGAATGCCAGAACCGGCTATATTTTCCTCAACACCATTCTTGCTTCGAGTTTTGCCTCGGTAGCTTATGTGGCTACAGACAAGGTACTCACTGGAAAGTACTCGATGGAGGCTGCTTGTGAAGGAGTTATCGTGGGTCTTGTTAATATTACTCCTTCATGTGGTTTCTACTGGCCATGGGCAGCAGCGGTTACTTCAATTATCAATGCTGTGATTTGTAGATTGTTAGTTCCAGTCAACAACATCACAGGAGTTGACGATTATAGCAAATCAGGCATTATTCATGGCGTGGGAGGAATTATTGGAGCAACTTTGACTGGAATCTTTGCATCGAAAACTGTCGCTAGCTACGATGGAGTTACCGAAATTGATGGAGGATGGATAAATGGAAATTTTGTCCAATTGGGCTACCAGATTGCTTCGTGGGTTAGCATTGTGTTGTGGACGGCTGTGTTCAGTTTGATAATCTTTTTTATCGTTGACAAAATTCCCGGCTTGCAGTTGCGGGCATCTGCTGAAGCTGAGGAAATGGGCATGGATCTTTATGAAATGGCAGAAACCGTTGATGAGTTTGGAAACAACTACAATGAGCTTTTTACCACCTACGCTAGTAGGTTGAGAGAAATTGCCAACCAAATAGACGCTGGGATGATCGAGGTAATTGACGCAGACCGTACAAGCTCAATTGAGTCTCAGCGAGTAGAGTATCAAAAAAAGGTTTGAAAAAGAAGGATGATGTGGTATTGAATTCAATTCTATTTTGTTCCTAATTTCCGTAGTACCTGACAGACTCCACATCTTCCTCTCTAATACCCTGGACACCAACAACCTTTTCATCTCCAGGAAAAATGTCAAATCCGTTATCCTCCAAGAACAAGTCGTTCTTGAGAACCACCTCGACTCCCTTGACAGGCTTATTAGCAGAGAGAACAATTTTGTTTTCCTCAACTCTGAATGAAATCTCTCTGTCATTAAACTTGAGATACTTGAGTGGCTGTGGCCAGTCGGCAGCGCTTCCAATAACAGAGCCGTCTTCAGATACAAATCTGCTGTAGACCACAACTGGAAAATCGTATTTGAGAAAGTGACGAGAAACAAGCTCCGTTGTCTGGTTCTGTTTCAACACAATTGCCCTATCGTCCAACGAATCCACCTTTTCGCCGGATGTAACGTTATAGATATCAACCTTCAATATTGCTGGGATATCAACGACACTGGAATTGACTCCCCAAATATCAACGTAAAGATCAGCTTTGCTGTAGTCATGTGGTGGTCCAGCTTCGGATACAGCTTTGGCTTGTTCTGGAGTATGTTTCTCTTCAGTTCTGTACATTCCAACTCCCACGGTCCGACTTTCTCTCTTGACCGAGTAAAAAGCTAGTTTGGGACGACGGTAATAATCAACGAGAGCCCACGAAGCTACCGGCCAGCAGTCGTTGATTTGCCAGACTATGGCACCTCCCGAGTATCTCTGACCCTCGCCTTTCCATTGTCTTCTCCAGCATCTGTAGGCATACCCAAGACACTCCAGTTGCATCAATTGGGTAGCGTAAATCCACGCGGGGTGCGTCGGCAATAATCGGTGAGTATACATCAGTAATAGACGACTCTAGCGTTACTTGTAGTAATTTTCAGCACGCCCCAACATATAATCTCGGCCCTTCAGCAACCTCACCAAAAAGCTAGGAACTTGCCATCCATAAAAAAGTCCAACTCCGCCTTTTTCTGAGATGGGTATTACGGTGGTTTGCTTGGGCTTTTGATATGGTTTTAATTGGTTTTTGTTTTTGTCTGAGAGCGTATTGACAAAAGTTGCAAAAGTTGGAATCTGATAGTGCAACAAATCGAACAAGCTTCTTGCTCCAATAGCCAAAACATCTCCCAAACCAATAACTTCGTTGTGGTCTTTGAGACGAAAATACTGATCTGTCTTTAAATATTCCTTCTCGTCAACATATTTTTGTTCCAAAAAGTCGGTATTTGGTTTACAAATGGCGGTGTTGATAACAAGATCTACCTCCATAGAAGTACCGTTCTCAAGATGGACTCTTGTTCTGCTAGACAAAGTCTCACACCAGGTATACTTGACATCATTAATCACACTTATGTTTAGTTCTCTCATCAAAACTTCTGCTTTCTTTGAAGCGTTTTCTCCCATTAAAGTTAATGGTCCAGTTTTTCCAGTTATAACAGTAATGTCTTTTGTTTGCCCATAGTAGTATCCCAATTCTCCTGCAACCTCTGCACCGGTAGGTCCACCTCCAAGAATAACTATTGATTTAGCCTGCTGTATTTCTTGGTTCATCTTCTTGATTTCTTCAACCACTCGTTTACCTTCGAGTTCATTTTGAAGACAATTGGTTTCCATACTGACACCGCTCGCTATGACCAAATAATCGTAGTTGACTGTTCTGGTTTCATTCTGGGTGGTATAATGTACTGTCTTTTCTTCCAAGTCAGCCTTAACAACTCTTCCTTCAAGCAATTCAATTTTTGAGGAGAACCTATTTAAAAGATCCGATAACGAGAATAAGGCTTTTTCAACTTTTTCAGGCTCAACAAGAATCCTAGGTGCTGCAATGTTAAAGTAAGCATAAGTGTTTGGAGAAATTAAAGTGACACGAACATCATCCTTTAACTTTGTACAGATTGTCTTGGCACCCCATACACCAGCATACGAGCCACCAATTATCACAATATGTTTTTTCTTAGCCTCCATAATATTTAGAACATAGCTGATCTATTTTATATTTGCAGCCTTTAACTGAAGGCGCGTGGATGTCCGATCTCGGACTACGTTTCGGAAATAATTAAGATCCGAAGCGAAGATCGATCCGAAGCCATTTTATCTGTAAAGGTTAAAAAGGCTTCGATAGCTCGTAATTGATGAATTAAATTGGATAGTTGTGGATTGTTTTAGTTTTAAACATGAATATCTCGCCTCAAGCATGAAGGTATATAACCAAAAGCGCCATAGGCCATGAGAATCATTTTTGAAAAGCATTTAGCCTATTAAAGTGTTTCGTGACTTGAGTAATACTCGTCAAGTGTCAATGCACTTGGAAGTGCATCAAGTATGTTCGTTTGCAGCCGCGCCGCACATTCTGCAGGTCGCATTAACGGTTGCAAAATGTCGCCCGCCTAAATAAGGCAATTGGCCGACTA